CAGTTCCTGTGAAAAGAATGCCCCACTGGCATTGACACAGACTTCTCTGCCCAAGTATTAACTACATACTCAAAATATTTCAACTTCCTGTTAATAGAGATGGTAACTTAACCCTGTTAAATGCGACAAAAGTATTAGCCAGCTTGGATTTCTTTATTGGAAGATTACAAAACCACTTGGCCTGTGGTTTACCTGCAATTAGCGCTTTGTTTTTGCTTGCTGTACAGCTTGCTTTCTATATATATACAAAATAAGGTCTTACTGTAAACTTCCTTCTCTAATAAATGCAGGTAAGGTTGCAACACAGGTAGTCTTCAACTTACGACTGCAACTGAGACCAGAATTTCCATTTGCACAAGCAGGATGGTTGTTCAGTGCGCGATTTTACAACCTTTTTGGCCATGGATGTTAAACGCATCACTGCAGTTATGTGAATCACACAGCCATTAAGTAAATCTGTGCCCCCCCCCGCCCCCCGCCTCTTGCTGGAAGCCAGCTGAGCATCTTGCAGATGGTGACCACGTGACCCTGGGATGCTGCAGCCATCGTAAATACATGCCAGTTCCCAAGAGCCCAAATTCTGATCCCCCTGGCTATGGGGATGCTATGGTGGTTGTGAGTGGAAACCTTCTCAAACAGGAGGTGTAACGGTGGACCAAATTGTGCCCGTTGGTACTCTCCAGCCTGGCAATATGCAGAACCTCTTCAAGTCAAGCTTCACATGAAAAATATCCTCTCCACGTCATTTGCGAGCAGTGACAGTAGAAAGGGAGGCGGAAAAACCAGTATTTGAAAATCTGACAGTAAGAAAAAGACAGCAAAGCAAGAACCACTTGCTAGAACGATCAATGGGCTTTCTCAAAACAAGGTCAAATTCCTGGCTGAGAATATCCAAGGTCCCAGTAAGAACTGATGTTATTTCTAGGTACATACTACCAATTTCTTGTACTAGCTAACCCTTTGCTATTGGGAAATAAGGAAAAAGGACTTGCATTTAACCATAAACAATATCATGATACAATTTTAATGTTCAGATCTACTACAAGATACAGATTAGCATGGGGTGGTGAGAGGAGGGGCAGGTCTAGCTGACTGGCTGGCCAATATGGCCTCCAAAAACTCTGCAGGGTTTCCTGTGGCTTCAGCCCCGAGTGCATAGGGGAAAAAATCCATTTTTTTTTTCACTTGTTGCAATCAAGTTCACTCTGCCCAAGCCGCATTGTGTAATGCCTTCACCTTTGCATCTAAGGTAGTATTTCTCAACCTCAGCAACTTTAAGCTGTGTACATTTCAACTCTATGGCTGGCTGGGGATTCTGGGAGTTGAAGTCCACACAATTATGTATGTATGTATTATGTGTGTGTGTGTGTGTGTATGTATATATACACACATATACATTGAGTTATGTATATATGTATGAGTGTGTGTGTGTGTGTGTGAATGTATATCTATACACACATATAAAAATATATCATTATGTATGTATGTATGTATGTATGTATATATATATATGCACACATATACATATATATCCAATTATGTATGTATATGTTTGTGTGTGTGTGTGTGTATCTATCTATCTATCTATCTATCTAAATCTATCTATCTATGTCTTTGGTTATTCAGGTTTTCTCCCGCGTAAAATTGGAGGTGTCTTGGCAACATTTCAACAAAGTCTCATTCGTCATCTTCAGGCTGGTGTTTTCGGCTTTGTGCTTCTAGGAGCAACGTGTATGATCGTGTGATGTGCAAAAATAGATCTATTTTAGTCTCCCTTAAGTCTTACAACAGACAGCATAATGCTCCTTAAATGTCTGATAAAGCCTAGAAAATAGTGATTTGGGATGTCACTTAACTATGGCTATACAAACATCTTGATTTACGTAGGAAAAACTCTGGCTAGAACAGTAATGCACATATAGACCTACGAAAAAAAGATATATATATATATATATATTTTCGTAGGTCTATATGTGCATTACTGTTCTAGCCAGAGTTTGTTTATTTATATATATATATATATATATATATTTATATAGTTAACTATATAGCCACTTGAGTTTCACTCAACTCCCTACTGCTTAAAGTTAAGGAATCCAATTGATGTTAGATAACTTGAGTCCCAGTACAGATAGTCCTTGGCTTATAGCAGTTCATTTAATGACCTTTCAAAGTTACAGTGGCACTGAAAAAAAGACTAATAACTATCTTTTGCACTTATGACTGTTGCAGCATCCCCATGGTCATGTGACTTACGCTCAGATACTTTGACAACTGGTTCATATTTATTACAGTTGCAGTGTCCCAGGGTCATGCGATCATCTTTTGTGACCTTCTGACAAGAAATTTTCAGAATTCAGAAACTAACAACTACAGTGATTCAAATAACAAGCGTAGCAAGAAAAGTCGTAAAATGGGGCAAAACCCACTTAACCAATTTCTCACTTTGCAGCATAAATTCTGGGCTCTATTGTTGTCCTAAGTCAAGGACTAACTATACTTATTTCAACTGAATCAGGATGGAGTTCCTCCATCGCCACCGAGGAGGTATCTCTCTTAACTACCCAAGCCAGGAGCCGAATCTGTGATTAGGTGCACATTAAAAGCTGGTTCTCTGCTTCTGCCAGCATCCCCCCAAATCCAAGCAGTAGCTTTCACTTTCTCCTCTTATCTGTGCATCTGCTGGCATGTTATTAATCATTTCCTCTATCCCATTTTAGAGACAGCTGCAGCCTAAAATAGGCTTCCCAGCCCAAGGGGAGTTCTTGAAGCAAGCAAATTGAATAGCTCCACGATTTAAGAATAAATCATTGGATGGTCCCTCCCTTTGGGTTCATAATCTCTGAAAGATCCAACACCAATATAGCACTCATTAGAATATTAAGCATACTGGCTAGGGAATCCTGGGAACTGAAGTCCCCATATCTTAACGTCGCCAAGTTGAGATACACTGTATTAAGCATTCTTTCCAACCGATATTTTCTTAGGGAAACATCAGCACACAGCTTAATAAGGTTTGTAATGATGCAAGCCAATTCTGTGACCTGTAAGACATTTTTTCACAGGAAGAAGCTACACGGTTTATAGAATTATTCTAGTTATTACAGAATGTCTAAGATTCCTACAGGTCTAGTCTTCTAAGCATCCTAAGATGCAAAAGTCAGCAGCACTGAAGGCTGTTTTTTTAATCCATAACATTCAGTGCTCTCATTTAACTGCCTCTAATGGCAGCTTTATGCTTAATGTGTGTGTGTGTGTGTGTGTATACACACACATACATACACATGCACACACACACTCCAGTATATATATAGCCATTTTGCTTAAAAACAAACAAACAAACCTCCATATAGGCTATTGTGGTGAAATATGATGGCAATAACTAAAATGTGGGACAAGGGGAGAGACTAATGGACTGTCCATTGCCACATACTGGAATTTTATTCAATATCTGCTCCCTAGTTTTACTTTGCAATACAGCCAGACTTACACAGAACCTCCCCTCTGCCAGCCATCCACAGATAATGCCCATTAATTTCTAAAATGCAGACTCTGACTTTCAGATACCTCTCATCCCTGTGCGTATTTTTTCCTCTCTTCCACGCTAGTAGATTTCCTATAAGGTCATCAAACATTCTGGCAGGGGAAAAACCTGAAATAAGGTAGCCAAAAGACTACAAAGGGATGCCAATTGGAAGTCATTTTCAAAAGAGGAAAAAAGAAAGCATGCAAAAGGTTATAAATAGATAGCACTAGAAAGCATGAATTCATGTGTTTGCTATCCATTTCTAAAATGTCTTCATCTTCCCCAAATGAAATGAAACACTAGGTTTCTATATCGTCTAGATTTAATAAGTGCATTAATCTTGCATTAATATTTTAGTTTATTCTGTCCTGATTTTTAAAATTTATGTTCGCTTGTGATACATGCAAGGTTTTTTTCAATGTATTTTTTATATTGTATTGTAATAAAAGAGTAGATTGAGTTCAATTTTGTAAGGAAATGAGCTTTAAGCCAAAACACAAGCTGTAGCGTATGTGCGTGTATTTTTTATACATATATCCTATTCTTCCAGAGAGATGTCATAAAACCTATGAGCAGTTTAAGATAAATCAGCTTAATCTCATGTTATTTCATAGCACCCCAAAGGCAGAATAGCATTTTTATATATGTGTGTGTGTGTGTGTGTGTGTGTGTGTGTGTGTGCTATTTCCTGCTAGAAAAAATAAAAAAAAATTTTGATGCAGGGAACTGCCAAGCATCCATTCTCCCCTCAGACATTTTCCCTCACTGCCTATCCTGACAAGATGAACAAGGCTACATCGCACTGAGTATTTCTTAAAACAATACCGTTTCAGGACGCGGTGTCGCAATCACATAAAGCCGGGTTTTGGGTTGCTCTGGAGAAAGAGGAAAAGCATTTCCAAACACATTATCGTCTCCCTCCCACCCACCCACCCACCAAATCCTAGCTCCTTTCCCCCCTGACAAAAGCAGCAACCTTTGCATACAATTTTTGTGGGTCCAAAAAAAAGGAGCCACTGATACCTTGGTGGGGTTTTTTGCCCCCACCCATTTGTGCAAAAGGAACGGGGTCCTTCCAAGGGGACCCAACCATGAATTCCTTTCACACCCACACCCCCACACACATTGGGTGCCAAGGGCTGCGACAGGCAAAGGAAGAAAGCACATTTTGGCACAAACAAGCCATTTGTGAAAGGCGACAACAACCTGCTGTGGTCCTGGCTTGGAGGACATTCCTCCAACATCCTTCCCAGCCCAGACTCTGCCAGGTGGGCAAATCCTGGGCTGGTTTCCAGGCTGGGTTGGCATCGCCAAATGCCCACCTTGCCAGGAGCCCCCCACGCCCCCCCCCACCCATCCCCCCCCCAAAGGCCACCTCTCTTTATCTATTTATTCCTTATTAATTCCTATTTTTGGCCAGCTTGGGGGGTGGGGGGGGTCCTTCCCAGTGCCTCCCCCCAACACACACACACACCTTGTCCCAGCTCAGCCACTGCCCCACCGCCCGGTCCAGCTGGGCGTCCCCGGTGCTGCAGCCGATCAGCAGGTTGGAGTTGACATCCCCCACCAGCAGGTCCCGGGGGTCGCCCATGGCTCTGGCCTGGCTGGAAAGACGGCGGGCTGGGTGGGTGGTCGGTCTCCAGCAGGGAAGGGCGGGTGGGGGCAAAAAAAAAAGGGGAGCGAAGGGGCTTCAGGTGGTCGACTCAGCTGCGGAGGCGCTCCCCGTTCACACGTGCAACTGCGGGCAGCGACCTGCAGGCGGGGAGGGAGGAAGGAGGGTCACGTGACCGCCTGCTCCTCCTAGCAGCCCCCCCCTTCTCCTCCCCTCAGCCTGGCTAGGGGGCTCTCGGGAAGGGGGGGGGAGAGAGAGGAAAGAAAGGGGAGGGGCTTCCCTAAACTGGGTGGGGGAGGGGCTTCCTAAATGAGTGGGGGAGGGGCCTGTCAATCTCCCCTCTGGCCCCCCCCATCCCACCCACCCTCCCCAAGCTGTTTTTCTGCTCTTTTTTTTACCTCACAGGGATTGTTGTGGGACAGAGGGGGAGGGGAGGGGGGAAAGAGCCAAAATTGAGGAAGGGGAGGCTTTAGATAAGCGTCCGTATAAATATTGAGAGAGAGAGAGAGAGAGAGACAAGACCCTTCCTCATCCTAAGGGGAGCCCTCCTCGAGGAACCATCGCCACAGTCCGCCCAACCGGTTCGCGCGCGCGCGCAAAAAAAAAAAAAACGCTCCTCAAAAAACTGCTCTTCTGAGGGAAAAAGCAGCGGCGGCGGCGGCGGCGGCGGCGGTTGCGCGCATGCGCCGTGCGCGAGACGGCTCCAGCCGCGCGCGCCCATGGGCGGGTTAGTAGCGGGGACCGGTGGGCGGAGAAACTGAAGCCGCCGCCGTGAAGGGCCCGCCCACCCACGACCCGCGGGCGCTGCTGGGAAATGTAGTCGGGGTGCTTTCCCCAACACGTTTCTTTCTTTCTTTCTTTCTTTCTTTCTTTCTTTCTTTCTTTCTTTCTTTCTTTTCTTCCTTTCTTTCTCTCTCTTTCTCTTGTTCTTTCTTTTCTTCCTTTCCCTCTCTCTTTCCCTTTCTCTCTCTCTTGTTCTTCCTCTTCCTCTTTTTCTTCCTTCTTTCTTCTTTTTTCTTTCTTTCTTTCTTTCTCTCTCTCTCTTTCTCTTGTTCTTCTTCCTTTCTCTCTCTCTTTCTCTCTCTTGTTCTTCCTCTTGTTCTTCCTTCCTTCTTTCTTTTCTTCCTTTCTTCCTTTCTCTCTCTCTCTTTCTCTTGTTCTTCCTTCCTTCTTTCTTTCTTTTCTTCCTTTCTTTCTCTCTCTCTCTCTTGTTCTTTTCTTTTTCCTTTCTCTCTCTTTCTCTCTCTTGTTCTTCCTCTTGCTCTTCCTTCCTTTCTTCCTTCCTTCCTTCCTCCTTTCTTTCTTTTCTTCCTTTCTCTCTTTCTCTCTCTTGTTCTTCCTCTCTCCCATGTTTCTTCTTTCTCTTTCTCTCTCTCTCTCTCTTTGTCTCTTTTTGTCTCTTTCTCTTGTTCTTTTCTTCCTTTCTCTCTTTTTCTCTCTCTTGTTCTTCCTCTTGTTCTTCCTTCCTTCTTTCTTTCTTTTCTTCCTTCCTTCCTCTCTCTTTCTCTTGTTCTTCCTTCCTTCCTTCTTCCTTCTTTCTTTCTTTTCTTCCTTCCTCTTTCTCTTTCTTTCTTTCTTTCTTTCTTTCTTTCTTTCTTTCTTTCTTTCTTATGTTATTACTGTTTATTAAATTTTAATGCCGCCCATCTCCACTGCAAGGTGAAGGTCATTTCTGACTCCTAGCACTGGACACATGAGATGTCAATGGACACATAGAAATCAACCTTATTTACACACAATTCAAAAGAGACAATAAAAAAGTCAAGAAGGAAACAAAAATAAAAGACCAGAACACTTCCTCTCCAGCAGTCAACACTTAGATAAGCAGGGATTAACCTCAGACAAACAATCAAGGAGAAAACAATATCCTCATGAAGGAATTACTAAGGATATATTTATCAAGCAGGAAAGAAAAGCAGAATCAAGGAAGGACTAAGAAGAGGAACCATCACACAAAGAAACAATTAAGCACAAAACAAAGCATAATAAAGGAACTTCTAAGAAGAGAACACTACCAACACCGACAGGGCAAACTACTGTATATAAATAAAGGAAGAACCACTCCTAGCACTGATGATATGGCTTGGATGGGTCATGAAATGTATGCAAGAAAACAACCAAGCTCAGAAGGCACCAAGGACCCCACAGTCCAACTCTGAGCTACAAATACACATAATCCTCAATTTACAGCAGTCCGTTTAGTGAACATTCAACGTTACAACGGCACCGAAAAATTTGACTTATGACTGTTTTTCACAGTTACAATTGTGGGAAGCCCCTCCCCTCCAGAGAAGAAATGGAGAAAAACCTTAAAAGGCAGAAAGCAGCCCCAGACTTCCTGCCATAAGAAAACTGGTCTTTAGGAATGAAGATTTTGCATCCATTCAGAAACACTGGGCCAATCCATTCTTAGACAAAAGGCCTTCAGCTGCAGCTCCCACAGAAAGCTGGATCTGATGGGATTGCAAAGTGGAATGGAATGGAATGGAATGGAATGGAATAGAATAGAATAGAATAGAATAGAATAGAATAGAATAGAATAGAATAGAATAGAATAGAATAGAATAGAAAATATGGAATGGAATAGAATAGAATAGAATAGAATAGAATAGAATAGAATAGAATAGAATAGAATTCATAATGGAATGGAATGGAATGGAATGGAATGGAATGGAATGGAATGGAATAGAATAGAATAGAATAGAATAGAATAGAATAGAATAGAATAGAATAGAATAGAATAGAATAGAATAGGAGTTTTTTAACAAAGACTCCTAAAATCTACATTCCCCACCCAGCTCCAAGGACAGAGCATGACCTCCCAGTCACAATGGTCAAAGTACATTTCACACCTAACAGGCATCTCAATTAAAAGCTTTAAAAGGCCTTCCTCACTCAAGCTTTCTTTCATTCCAGACATCTTTGATTGAAAAGGCATGTTTGATGTCAAGGATGGGAGTTATAGATCAAGGCACCTGGAGGGGTGCCAGGTTAAAGCTCGCCTCTTTTCTTCCCCACCTATCCGATGACCTGAGTGCATTTGAAGAGCAGCTGGAGAATTAAGTTGGCACGAATTGCCCCTATAGCTGTATACTTATTTTTCCAGGCTGGTCTTTGTCTCATCATTGCTTATTTAACAGGGCCGACAGTGTTTCACCTGCCCGCTCAGGTAACACACCGCCAGACTCCTTGATGAGGCCCTGTCTTTCCGGCAATTGCTTCTTTGACCTGTTTTCCAGCGTAATTTTAAACCGAAATTGTGATCAAAGGACATCCGGATCTCCTGGCAACCAGAATACAGGATAGAATAACAGAATCACAGAGTTGGAAGGGACCTTGGAGGTCTTCTAGTCCAACCCCCTGCTCAAGCAGGAGACCCTACACCAGTGTTGGTGAACCTTTTTGGCACCGCACATATGAGTGCCGGAAGCCGGAAGGGCAGCTGCCTTGTTGTGGAATGATGAGACCAACACAACTTTCCTAGGTTAGTCAGAGACAGTGTATTGCGCAATAGGTTCAGAGCCAGTTTTGTACATGAAGCTTTGAACAACTTATGATTCTGAGACCACAGTTTTATACATTTTCAAACAAAGGATTCTGTTAACTCAGCAGTTTATATGGTCATATACATTTGTTATATTTAATTGACATTTCCTAATTACTAAGTTTTACATTACCCTTGCCAAACAATCATAATTCTTCTGTAAATTACTGGAGCATAGATTCAAATTATCTTCTGTTGATAAGACGACTTCTAGCTCATGTGGATCCCCTTGACCTAACCAACCTTTAAGCTGTATGTCATTAGAAGGTTCCTTTCTTCTGAGAAGAGCCTTGATAGTACAGTGGTTTAGTGCACCCTGTTATTAACACAGCTGCCTGCAATTTACTGCTGGTTCGAATCTCTCCAAGGCTCAAGGTTGACTCAGCCTTCCATCCTTTCTAAGGTAGGTAAATTGAGGACCCAGTTTGTGGGGGCAATAAGCTGACTTTGTATAAATATACAAAAGGATGAAGGCTATTGCTTAGTGCATTGTAAGCCGCCCTGAGTCTCCGGAGAAGGGCGGCATATAAATCAAATTTTAAAAAAACTTAGAGGCCTCCTAAAAGTATCAAAAGGATTTGGGCTGAGTTTGTACTTTTTCCAACCGGATGAATTTCCTGCCTTTAGAATAGAGTGAATAAAAAGTTATCCAGTGGTCATCTATCAGAGCCCGCTTCATTTACATTAGCCTGGTGTGCATGTGCAAGCCGAGCAGCTGCCCTTCCGGTTTCCAGCACGCACATGTGCACCGGCCACCTGGTCTTGTGTTTTATGGAGCGCATGAAGACCAGCTCCCCAGTGTGCATGCACCAGTAGTGGGTTGCCCCCCGGTTCGGACCGGTTCTATAGAACCGGTAGCAAAACTGGAGGGAAGCTCCACCCACCGACCCCGACGTCATCAGAACGCTTCTGCACATGCGTGCGAGCGAAGCAAGCAGGCACGCACAACCCTGTTGCAAACCAGTAGTAAAGGTAAGTAGAACCCACCCCTGGCATGCACACCTCGGAAATCGGAAGAGCCATTGCCCAGCACATGCATGCACCCCTGGCGGCTGCTCTTTGAGTTTCCGGTGCTCCCACGCGCATGAAGACCAGCTGGCTGGCGCCCCAGAACCCGGAAGAGCAACGCGTGCCATAAGCTCTCCATCATGGCCCTACACCATTCCAGACAAATAGTTGTCCAATCTCTTCTTCAAAACTTCCAGTGATGGAGCATCCACAATTTCTAGTGGCAAGTTGTTCCACTGGTTAATTGTTCTCACAGTCAGGAAATTCCAGGTTGCTTCTCTCCTTGATTAGTTTCCACCCGTTGCTTCTTGTCCTGCCTTAAAGTCCTTTGGAGAATAGGTTGACCGCTCTCAAAATATTGGCAAACTGCTATTATGTCACCCCTACTCCTTTTTTTCCCCCTCTAAATAGAATAGCAGAGATGGAAGGGACCTTGGAGGTCTTCTAGTCCAACCCCCCAAATACCATTTCAGACAACTGGTTGTCTAATCTCTTCTTAAAAACCTCCAGTGACTGGACAGCCTTTTTTTTAAAAAAATACTATAGTTAAAATAAAAAAAAAAAAAAAAAACCATTTTAAAAGAAGAAGACCACTAAATGCTATGCCTTCTTTTGTCTTTCTTTTTTCTTTTTCATTGTTGTAGGTAAGCAATAAAAGGAATAAGTGAATCTGATTGAATTGCCCCAGAAAAATCCTCTCCTTTTTCATATCTTGAGGCTGCATTGAAACTCATAAATCAGTTTTTTAATTGGGGGGGAAAAAAATGAAATGTGGAATGCCACTTCTGATGTCAGCTACCCCTCCTGGCTTAATGCTGGGAATTATCGTTCTCATTAAATCAGAACTGAGTTTCAACTCCAGTTGGCAATCTTTGAAGGCCATGTTGGGATCCAACTTGGAGGCCAGTGCCTTGAGCCCCATATTCCTTGGTCCTTCCTTTATTACCTGTGTGCTCACCTAGCAACATCTGCCCTGTGGTTTCCAGGGTGACCCACACCTGCCTTCAAAATGTGGTAGCACCATAAGCTTTTGAGCCAGTTGGATGGACTCAGCTGAAGAAGAACAGATCTCCTCCTAGCAGAAATGTAAGTGTTGGGCTCCTTCACTTCTGTCCGTACTCTCTTGGTCTTCTTTGGAAGAAGCAAGACCTTGCCTGACCAATTTCAGGCTTATTTGAAAGGAAGGGGTGAGATGTGGAGTCTCGTGCAGACCTCAGCTGCATTAAACAGGGTACAGAATCAGCATCACACGAAGTTTTAGCACCACTTTATAACGCCTTGGTAACACCACACTTGGAATATTGCATCCAATTTTGATTGCCGCAGTATAACATTAGGTGTTGAGACTCTGGAAAGAGTGCAGAGAAGAGCAACAAGGATGATAAGGGGACTGTAGGCTAAAACATATTGTTCTGTCCCCGTCTCACACACGCACCCCCACAGACAGGCAACAGTTAAAGTACTCAGCCGACAACAATTTTATCTGGTATCAGAATTGGCAGCAATTCAGTGGCTGGCTGCCAGGTATTCTTTACTCACAAAGGGGGAGTTTCTCCCTTCGTCCGGGAACAAAGCCAATACACAATAATCAACAAAGTCCAATAAATACAAAGAAGGTCGTCCGATATCCGTTTTTTGCTTGTCACAGAGCTGAACCGGCCACCACACCCTCTTTTATACCCTGTGGGGTGTGGTCCAATGACTCAGCCTAATCCCTGGCACGCCTCTTCTTCTGTTGCGCGCGCTTATCTCTGCGACGCTGCTGAGGATCCAGCCAAGACTCATCTCCCTCATCACTGTCCACCTGTGACTGCGTGGATGTGCTTGGCCCCGGGCCTAACTCTTGACCTTCGGCAGACACCGAAGGCATTGCCAGAGAGGAGGGTCCTGGAGAGGGAGGCCTTGCCAACTCCTCACCTTCACTCTCGGAGTCCTCTCCTGCCGATAACACAGGCTCAGGTAACGAAGCCACAACACATATGAAGAACGGTTGCTGGAACTGGGTAGTGAAAAGAAGGATTAGGGGGTGACATAATAGCAGTCTCCCAATATCTGAGGGGCTGCCCCAAAGAAGAGGGGGTGTTAACTTATTTTCCAAAGCACCCGAAGGCAGGACAAGAAGCAACGGATGGAAACTAATCAAGGAAAGAAGCAGCCTAGAACTAAGGAGAAATTTCCTGACAGTGATCGATAGATAGATAGACACAGTGGTGCGATTCAAATAATTTAACAACCGGTTTTCTGCTCTAATGACCAGCTGGGTAGGCGTGGCTTGATGGTCATGTGACTGTGTGGGCGTGGCCAACTCAACGTTACTCACATGGATGGGCGCTTCGTCTTAGTTGTTACAATGTAATAAGGGTTAACCAGAGAGAGGCAGTTTCTGTAAGCAGGGCAATAAAGATTAGGCTAGAAACACCACCAGAATGTTTCCTTCCTGCCTTCCTTACAGGATTAGTCCTGTCAAGTGGAAAAAAACAAAATAAGATTTCTTCCAACAACTGGTTCTCCGAACTGCTTAAAAAGTTAACAACCGGTTCTCCCGAATAGGTGCGAACTGGCTGAATCCCACCACTGGATAGACAGGCAGGCAGAAGATAGATAAGTGGATGGATGGATGGAAGATAGAAAGATAGATAAAATAGATAGATAGATAGATAGATAGATAGATAGATAGATCGATCAGACGTGAAATCTGAACCGGTTTGCTACTGGTTCACTGGCTGCACATGTGCGCCACATGCCAAATGCGTGCTATGCGTGCGTATGCACACCAAACACATGCTGCATGCACATGCTCAGGGCGCACCAAACACACGCTACACATTTAAAAAGCTATCAGTTTCGGCGAACCAGTAGTTAGCACGCACCAAAAGGAGGCTTCGGTAAGTAAGTAGAACAGCGGGGGGGGGAATCAGCTGTGCCACGCAGTTTAGCTTCGCTAGAAAGCAGCAAATCCTGCTTTCTAGCAAAGCTAAACCACACGGCCCAGCTGCTCGTCGGATTGTAGCTTTTTTAAACTACCAAGCCTGAACCGGAGCGAACTGGTAGCATTTCACCAGTGGTGGGTTGCCCCCAGTTCGCACCGGTTCTATAGAACCAGTAGTAAAACTGGCGGGAGGCTCCACCCACCGACTCCAATGTCATCAGAATGCTTCTGCGCATACGCGAGCAAAGCAAGCGCGCACACGCAGCCCCGTTGCAAACCGGTAGTAAAGGTAAGTAGAACCCACCCCTGCATTTCACCCCTGAGATAGATAGATAGATGACAGATGGATAGAGTGGTGCTGTGGCCTAGAGGTGGAGCTCTCGCCTCACAATCAGGAGGCTGCGAGTTCGAGCCTACATAGAGGCAGATATTTCTCCCTCTGGGCACAATGAGAATATATCTGCTGAACAAAACTCTGCATTGGCGACAGGAAAGGCATCCGGCCAGTAAAACACTCAGCTCCATTCAGTTGCCCCGACTCCACCCCGATGCAAGGGATTACGGGGTCATTAAAAAACAAGCAAAAAAAATGATGGATGGATAGACAGATAGAGGTGGATGTGTGGATGGATAGACAGACAGACAGACAGATTAACAACCCAGATTTGTGTGTGTGTGTGTGTGTGTGTGTGTACACGTATACATATATTGCTTACCTATCCCACCCGATGGCATTTGGAACCCTCCCCAGCACCGTCTTTGACCCCACTGGTTGTGGATGATGGGAGTTGCAACCCAGCCCGATCTGGGGAGAGTAGGTCTGGATTGACCTATTGTGATGGATCTCCAGAAGGGGTCCCTCCCTCAACCACTCCGGCCTTTGTCTCCATCGCAGAATGGATTTGTGCAGATTCCTTGATGACGACGATGATCTCCTGAAGGGGTTGGTCCCTTTCCGGTGGGAAGATTCAGACCTGTCCCCCAACAGCCTGGAGCTTAGCCAGGAGGATTCGCAAGAGGACATCCCGGGGGACAACGGCGGGCCTCTCCTGCGATGTCTCAAGAGGATCTACCGAAAAACCAAGAAGGAGAAAACAAGACGGCGGAAAAATCTGAACTCTGGTAAACGGTGGGGCAGAGCAAGATTGGGTCGGGGGCCTCGCTGGGCAGCCCTCTCCTTCCTGCTGGAATTAGGAACTACAGGTAGCCCTCGACTTACCACACAACTGAGCCCAACATTTCCGTTGCTAAGCGAGGCAGTCGTTAAGTGAGTTTTGCCCCATTTTACGACACCTTTCTTCCAGAAGCGATTAAGTGAATCCCTGCAGTCATTAAGTTAGTCACACGGTCGTGAAGCGAATCTGGCTTCCCCATTTACTTTGCCTGTCAGAAGATCCAAAAGGGGTTCACACATGTTAGGATATGGTTTGAGCCTAACAAGTTGTCCAGGCAATATATGTGTTCTGTGACTTTAATATGAATATGTATTGTGTGACTTTAAAGTTTTACTGCTGATTCATTGTAATGCTGAGTCATGCTGTAATTAGATAATCACTGGTTGTGAACGTATTTAAGAAAAGTACTGTAATGTATTCAGTTGATGATAAGCTACCATTGTTTGAGGAGTTGCTTCCATTGTGCTATCATCGGTTGGATGGATCTGCTACCATCGTGGTTTGTGAACCAGAGTGAGTTTGTTATTCTAACCAACTCCTGTTTGTGTGGTAAGAAGATCTTTGTATTACTGGACTGATTTAACTGGCAAAGACTTGGATTGATTTAAAGACTATGAGATTGTTTTTTTACTATAAAGTAAACTTTTGATAAACCAGTTTGCACATCTCTTATTCATTGCTCTCAGCAACGTTTCTCTGTGCTCTACACTCTGCTGGTTGGTAACACAACAACAATATCCTTAACAACACATGCGACCGTCATAAATATGAACCACTGGCCAAACGTCCAAATTTTGATCACGTGACCATGGGGGGAACGTTATGACAGTCGTAAGTGTGAAAAACGGTCACTTTTTCCATCTCTGCCATAACTTTGAACAGTGATTAATTAAAGGTTGTAAGTGAAGGACTACCTGTAGACTTTCTGAGGAGAAATCTTCCCCACAGAATGTCCTGTCTAATAAGACATTATATGGAGCTATGATTATTTGTTTTGATTCCACAAAAATGTCCACCATCTTTCCAGAGTTGGTGGCATCACGTTCCTAATGACAGGGCTGGCCAAAGATTTGAAATAATAACCCATGTTCCCATTTCTTCAGTTGGTTGAGGATCTCAAGAACCTTGGAGAAGGTTCTCCCAGGTCTACAGCTGTCACCCCTGAGCTTCTGGGATTTCTCTTCCCGTGGTTCTCCTCCTGGTGAGGTGGGGTCTTCCCTCACGTTGGGGGAAGGAATTAATTGACTCTTTCTCTCCTCCTACTTCTCCATGGTAGGGTTAGTCCCTGACCTCTCAGCCATGGCTACGATTTGGGAAGAAAATGATGGCCCTCAGTCTGCTCAGGAACCGGAGCTCTTCCTGTCCTCCTGGAGAAGCAGCATGGAGTATTTCAACAGCAAAAAAGAGGTATGGAGGATGCTCGTCTTCTTAGAATAACAGAGGTGGAAGAGACCTCGGAGGTCTTCTAGTCCAGCCCCCTATATCCGTGATGGCGAACCTATGACACGTGTGCCACAGGTGGCATGTGGAGCCATATTGGTGGGCATGCGAGCGTTGCCCTAGTTCAGCTCCGGTGCGCGCCAGCTGATTTTCAGGCCTTCCGGGCCCACTGGAAGTCAGGAAACAGGCTATTTCCAGCCTCTGGAGGGCTCCAGGGAGGTGGGGAAGGCCTGTTTTTTGCCCTCCCCACGCTCCAGAACCTTTCTAGGAGCCTGGGGAGGGCAAAAACGGCCTTCTCCCCCCGCCAGAGGCCCTCCAGAGGCCGGAAACGGCCCGTTTGCTGACTTCCGGTGGGATCGGAAGGCCGTTTTTGCCCTCCCCAGGCTCCTAGAAAGGCTCTGGAGCATGGGGAGAATGAAAAACGGGCCTTCTGGTCCCACTGAAAGTCGGCAAATGGGCCGTTTCTGGCCTCCGGAGCGGTGGGGAAGGCCGTTTTCGCTCTGCCCAGGCTCCTAGAAAGGCTCTGGAGCCTGGGGAGGGCAAAAAAACAGGCCTACCGGGCCACCGGGCCATCATGTGCAGGAGCGTGGGGGGGGTGTCACTTGCACATTCACGGGGGGCGGGGTGCATTGAACTATGGCTGTGGGCACATGTGCTCCCCCCCGCTTTTTGCACCCGACGGCAAAAAGGTTTGCCATCACTGCCCTCTATCATTTCAGACAAATGGCTGTCCAGTCTCTTCTTGAAGGCCTTCAATGATGGAGCAGCCACAACTGGGAACACCAAAAGAAGAGCAACAAAAATGATTATGTTGTGGATTTAATAAGACCAACACAACTTTTCAGGGTTAGCCAGAGACATTGTATATTGCGCAATAGGTTCAAAGCTCTGTACGTGAAGCATTGAACAAAGACAGAAATTAGGTACAATGGTTTTTATACTCTTCTAAGACAAAGGATTCTGTTAACTCGGCAGTTCATATGATCATATACGTTTGTCATATTTAATTGACACTTCCCAATTACCAAGTTTCATATTATTCTTTGCCAACAGTCATAATTCTTTTTGCCAATTACTGAAGCATAGATTCAAATGATCTCTTGTTGATATTACATGTGGTCATCCTTTGATCTGTTTTAACCTTCAAACAAATATCTCTATCTCTGGCAACTGAGGGGCCCCTCTTGTAAAGGTTTCTACTTCAAAGGAATTCTCTGCCTTTCAACTGGTTAATTGGCTTCCCTCAAACAAGCACATTTCCTTTCTTACAATACTATGAATAAAGAGGGCCCTTCAGGGATCATCCAGCTGGACCCGCATTTACCTACATTACTTAGGAGTTGGGGGCTAAAACATATGAAGAACGGTTGCAGGAATTGGGTATCTCTAATGAAAAGAAGGATTAGGGGTGACATGATAGCAGTCTTCCTCTAAGGGGCTGCCCCAAAGAAGAGTGGCGGTCAACCTGTTCTCCAAAGCACCTGAAGGCAGGACAAATAGCAACGGATGGAAACTCATCAAGGAGAGAAGCAACCTGGAATTAAGGAGAAATTTCCTGTGAGGACAATTAACCAGTGGAACAACTTGCCACTGGAAGTTGTGGGTGCTCCAATGCTGGAGGTTTTTAAGAGGAGGCTGGACAGCCACTTGCCTGGAAATGTATAGGGTCTTTGCTTCAGCAGAGGATTGGATTAGAAGACCTCCAAGGTCCCATCCAATTCTGTTATTCTGTGTTATATAAGGAGAAGGCAGGAAGAAGGAAAGAGGGATAGATGAGAAAGAAAAGAGAAGGAAGGAAGGAAGGAAGGAAGGAAGGAAGGAAGGAAGGAAGGAAGGAAGGAAGGAAGGCCTAAATTCTAAATAATGTTCCTCCACTTGTGGATGCTCCATCACTGTAGATTTTCAAGAAGAAATTGGACAGCTATTTGTTCAGAATGGTAGACAGAGTTTCCTGCCTGAGCAGGGGGTTGGACTAGAAAGCCCCCAAGGTCCCTTCCCCCTCTGTTATTCTGTTCTGTTCCATCACCACCTCCTCCTCCTCTTCTTCTCCTTCTCCTTCTCTTCCTCCTCCTCCTCCTCCTCCTCCTCTTCTTCTTCTTCTTCTCCTCCTTCTCCTTCTCCTTCTCCTCCTCCTCCTCTCTTCTTCTCCTTCTCCTTCTCTTTCTCCTTCTCCTCCTCCTCCTCCTCTTCGCCTTCTTCTCCTCCTCCTCCTCCTCTCCTTCTTCTTCTTCTCCTCCTTCTCCTTCTCCTCCTCTTTCCTCTCTTCTTCTCCTTCTCCTTCTCTTTCTCCTTCTCCTCCTCCTCTTCTCCTTCTCCTTCTTCTCCTCCTCCTCCTCCTCCTCTCCTTCTTTTCTCCTCCTCCTCCTCCTCTCTTCTTCTTCTTCTTCTTCTCCTTCTCCTTCTCCTTCTTCTCCTTCTCCTCCTCCTTCTCCTCTCTTCTTCTCCTTCTCCTTCTCCTTCTTCTTCTTCTCCTCCACTATTATTTTAATTCTTCTTGGGAATTACTTGGGAAAACTCGTAAGTTTTCCCTCTAAGGGAATACTGAATGAACAGAAAGATACAGTCTGCTCGCTTAATTAAAAAATAATATTTTTTTTCTTTTAACCAATTCTTTTTTTTTTCCCCTCTCCCTCCCTCCCTCTCCTCCCAAATCCCCTTCCAGGATGACGTGATGAAGAAAAGTTTCTTTAAATTCTTATCCGTCCTCAGCAAGACAATCAACTGGATGCACATGACCGAATTCTTTCTCGACAATTTTACCTCAGATGTCGTGGGAGCCATCACTGTATGTCTTCGGTCTTTTCACCCGCCTTCCAGGGATGACTGTGGTCAAAAAAGTCAAGGTGGCCCCCACAGAAGCGCAGGATGAGCGACACACACGATAAACGGGAAGAGCGTAGATCCTTCCCTTGGGGCCGCCATCTTGAAGTTTTTGACCTTGTCCTGTAGACACCCCATCTCTCAATGATTTCAGTCAAATTTCTGTTGCTAAGCGAGACAGCTGTTAAGTGAGCTTGGCTCCATTTTGCAAACTTTCTTGACACAGTTAAGCGAATCCCTGCAGTATCCCACGGTCATTAAGTGAATCTGACTTCCCCATTGCTGGTCAGAAGGTTGCAAAAGGGGAATCACGTAACCCCGGGACACTGCGACCGTCATAAATGTGAGTCAGTTGCCAAGCCTCTGAATTTTGATCACGTGACCACAGGGAATGCTGCAAGGGTCGTTAAGTGTGAAAAATGGCCATAAGTCACTTTTCTCAGTGCTGTTGTAACTTCAAATGGTCACTAAATGAACTGTTGTAAATTGAGGATGATCTGTCTTGCCCAAATTGTATAAAAACTGTATAAAAACAAGATCCCAAAATCTCATGAAAAGGGATGATTATTCACCTTTTCCTTGTCTTTCAGAGATTATTAAAAAAAAAATCTGAAATTTCTAATCGTTGCTTTTCAACCTTGCCGGGAACGGATCCCTAAAATTAAGTTGGCTGGGAGACTCATCAAAGGGGAAAATTTTCCTTATAGACCCTTCCTGTGGTTCAGGGGTGGCTGGTTGGGGAATTCTTGGAGTTGAAGTCTACCCATCTTCAAGCGGCCAAGGTTTTGAGAAGCACTGCGCTAGATACTTGTCTTGGTGGATTTGCCAAGATCCAGTCCTGGCTGGGTTGGACTTGTTTCAATCTAAGCCTTGACCTCACCAAAAATTATCTGCTCAACCTTGTATCCTCAACTCTTAACAGAACCCAAAATTATCTGTTCAACCTTGTATCTTCAACTCTTAGTAGAACCCAAAATTATTTGCTCAGCCTTGAGGCCTCAACTCTTAACAGAACCCAAAATTATCTGCTCAACCTTGTCTCTTCAACTCTTAGTAGAACCCAAAATTATCTGTTCAACCATGTATCTTCAACTCTTAGTAGAACCCAGAATTATCTGCTCAGCCTTGAGGCCTCAACTCTTAACAGAACCCAAAATTATCTGTTCAACCTTGTATCTTCAACTCTTAGCAGAACCCAAACGAGCTGAGGTCTTCAATCTTTTGAAGTTCTTCTTAGTGGAGCTGAGATGGTCTGACAGGGGACATGTCTTTCTCGTTGACAGGAGATGGTGAAACAAGAACTTCCAGAGCCCAACATTATCTGTCTTCAAGCGATGAACACCATCACTGACTTCAGGTAGATTTGCTTCTTCTAGTAGTTGACCTCATGTTGGTGGTCCAGAGCAGTCAAATCATCTGCCCCTGAACTTCTCACTCGCATTCATTAAAATAGTCTACTTTTGGTGTTCAGGAAAATGTTGGAATCACAGTAGATGGCCAAAGGGGAAAACAGTTGCTATAATAGATATTCTGTCTGTATTGATTTAATATGGAGAACCAGTTTGGTCTAGTGGTTAAGGTGCTGGCTTAGAACCAGGAGACACTGAGTTCTAGTCCCACTTTAGGCATGAAAGCCAGCTGGGTGACTTTGGGCCAATCACCAGGAGACTCTGAGTTCTAGTCCTGCCTTATCCATAAAAAATGGTTGGGTGATGTTGGGCCAATCACTGGGAGATGGTGAGTTCTAGTCCAGTCTTAGGCACGAAAGCCAACTAGGTGACTTTGAGTCAGCTCCTCTGTCTCAGCCCAACCCACCTTGTTGTTTTGGGGAAAATAGGAGGAAGAAGAAGAATTACGTAAGTTCGCCCCCTTGAGTTATTTTTAAAAATAATGAAGGCAGGAATAAAATAATAAAATAAATTAAAATAATAAAATGAAAACAAAATAAAAAAAATTGAAGCAAAATAAAGTAAAATAAAAACAAAACAAAGAATTAAAGCAAAATAGAATTGAGTAAAATAATAAAGAGTAAAATAAAATAAATAATAAAAACAAAAGTAAATAAAAAATAAAAGTAAAATAAAGTAAAATAAAATAAATAATAAAAACAAAATAAATTACATTAAAATAGAATAAAGTAAAATAAAATAATAAAAATAAAACAAAACAAAATAAATAATAAAAACGAAATAAAAAAGTAAAATAGAATAAAGTAAAATAAAATAAAATTAAAAAATGATAAAAACACAATAAATTTTTTAAAAAATTAAATTGAAGTAGAATAAAATAATCCATTGTTTTTCCTAAGCCAATGCAAAAGGATTTAAGGATGGTGCCTCCCAATTGCTCTAATCCTTGGGCACTATTGTACAAAACAGTGCAATTATAAAAATTTCCTTACTTTGACTTCAAAGTAGGATTGTTGGCTGCAGGCAATCTTGACCAACACCGAAGCGGCTAATAAATTCAAAGAAATAAATAAACAAATCACAACAGATTACAGAGTGATGATCTGCCTCAAATTGCCCAGCATCCAAAATATGTTGTAAATCGAGGACTATCCATCACCCTTGTGTCGTGTGGCTACAGGAAGAGAACCTCTGAGTCAACAACGGCTGCTGGAGTAATTTAGCAATCCCTTCTGGAAACAGGATGCGGGTTCGAACGAGGACAGCTGAAATACGTTTGCTCTCCTGGTTATCATTAAGAAATCCCTAAGCAACAAGAGGAGCATGGGAACAGCTAAAAATATGCTGTTCAACATCTTTGTTAAACTTTGCTACACTTAACAAAATATTTTAATTTCTGCCCGTGGTGTATTTCCTCAGTTTAGAAGCCAGAAAGAAAATATCAACCTTCTTAATGGACCACAGTCCTAGTTAGTTCAGCAACTTTCTTCCAGCTTGGAAGAGGAGTCTCCAAACCTGGCAACTTTAAGACTTGTGGACTTCAGCTCCCAGAATTCCTCAGCCAGTATGGACGCCATGGCCGGCTGAGGAATTCTGGGAGTTGGAGTCCACAAGTCTTAAAGTTGCCAGGTTTAGAAACTCTTGTGTAAGATCATCACAGACGTATTCTGGTTTTGGCCAACTGTGGTGGGAACCCAACTTCGTCACCTTTGAAAATTGCAATGTAGCCCTTCAAAAGTTGGCTGATCCCAGCCCTTGTGACTCATTCCCTCAAACTATGGTTTTAGCAAGATGGGTGAACCCAGTTACCATCTTCCTCGCAGAGTGGGGACCCGCAGATAGTCCATTGATGAATAGTATCCAGTTACCATCTGGAACCATGATTTGTGTGACTCTTCTGTTCGTGCCGGCTGGGAAGTTCAGGACACCAGAAGTCCTTTAAAGTTGCCGAATTTGAAGAACACCTGAGCTATCAAATGACACCATCTCCCTTCCTAGACCCAGGTTCTGAACAGACCAGTTCAGACCTTAAAAATCTCACACTGGAGGTTTTGTGTGGTTTTGAGACTCTTCATTCTTCATCAGGAGTAACCAAAGGGGCCATTTTTTCATTCCAGCTTCTTGTAACTTTGCAAAGTGGTCAACAACTGTGAACTCTGGGGTGTGTTTTGCATTGTCCCCATCCGATTGTCTTACCGTGTCCCAAAACAATCAAGACTTCTTTTCATTTCCTTCAGCAAGAAGCACATCATGAAAACTATGGGGTCCTACAAGAAGGGTCTTCTACTCCGGACTTTCTTCAAGAGTGTCTTCTCGTTGTCACCTGTGAAGGCAGGACAGGAAGAAGAAGGCGTGGACTCTTCTAATGTTCAGTACACAAAGGTATCCTGGTTTTCCAAGATTTGGTTACTTGCTTACCATCATCGTGGATGTCTTTTCTCTATCTGCTTCTAGTAGTTGCTTCAGTGGAAATGTTTTGTATATGTTGATAGCTACCATGTTCAATGTTCACCTTCAGCATGATGAACTTACAAAGCCAATCCTTCCTCAGCCACAGATTGACAGAGCAACCAGTCCAGGACATGAGAATTAGCAGTTCCATGGTGTTCACAGAATCAGAGAACTGTAGAGTTGGGCGGGATCACAAAGATCCACCAGGATCATCTAATAATCCATGATTGGGTGATTATGGCCCTTTATCACCTATGGACTTCAACTCCCAGAATCCCCCAGCCTGCTAGTCGCAAAATTAACTTAATTAGAATTGGACTTCTACACGTTAAGCCCATGTTCTTCATTAAACCAGGGGTGGACCATTTGAGCTTGTGGAAGGGAGAGAATTGGGCGAGAAAGTCCCATCAGACTTGTAGGTAGAGATAGGTTAAGAAATTTGGGATATTTCAATCAATCAGAATAGAGCTGGAAGGGACCTTGGAGGTCTTCTAGTCCAACCCCCTGCTCAAGCAGGAGACCCTAGACCATTTCAGACAGTCTCTTCTTAAAAACCTCCAGCGATGAAGCACCTACAACTTCTGAAGGCATAATGTCATTTATTCAGTTATTTCTCATAGGGGTTGATGATTGTAGAAGATTTCTAAGGTCCTTCCAACCCTACAATTCTATATACAAGTCCACATGCATTGGCTGTGGATTCTGGGAGTTGAAGTCCACTCATCTTAAGGTTGCTAAGATTGAGGAACATTGTCCTACAACATCTGGAGATGATGTTGCCCTACCAGGCTTCTTGAATTGTTTGCAGGAGACATAATTGGCCACAAACCTTCAGTGCTGACCAGTTTTTGGACATTCGATAAAGAATTCAGAGGTCTCTTCCCCTCTGGACTGCTCATAGTTTACAAACTCTTTACTTCCTCAGTCCTAAAACTTGCTCTTTGTATCTCCTAGAATCTCTTCATTGGAACCTACCAAGCCTTCAGTGAAATGCTCCAGCAATTAATGGTGGAAAATCCAATTCCTTCGGAGCTGGAAAGGATCTTGCAGGTATGTTATTTGGGAGGAAAATCTTGTTATTGGTTCGTCACGCATATGTCAAGGAAGACTCGATGATCCAGGCCAAAGATTAAACCATGGCAACTGGATCAAAATTATTTTGACTCATGAAGTTGGTTGGATGAGCAGTGAAACAGCTCAGATTAACCAATTTTGCTCCTGTTGCCATGGTTTAACCTTTTTAAGATACTTTTGGCCTGGATGGTTGAATCAATCATTCAATCAATCGATCGGAATAGAGCTGAAAGGGAACTTAGAGGTCTTCTAGTCCAACCCCCTGCTCAAGCAGGAGACCGTCTAGCATTTCAGACAAGTGACTGTTCAGTCTTCAGTGACATATTGGAATACATTTTGGGGAGAAACCCGTGAAGTTGTTACGGCAAGAGTTGGTTCATTCCGATGACCCTCTGACTCGCTGCCTATCTGATTTTTTTTTTTATTTTGACCGATGAGGTTCGTCACGCAGTCAGCCAGATGTTCAGGCTGGATTCAGCATTTTTGCCCACCTATCGAGTCCTCCCCAAGGACCTCAGATAGCCAGATGTGGATGTTTGATGGTGTTACAAATATTGTAGCAGGATGTCAGCTGTTCCAAACAAAGCTGCCTTCTGCAATTGACAGATGAGGAAATTGTCAATGTCGATAGTGTTCAAGAGGTGGTCCAGATGTTCTGGGCTTGCACCCAAGGTGCCTATCACAACTGGTACCCCCTTTGCTTTCTTTTGTTCTATTTCTATTTTTTTTTTAAAATTTGATTTATATGCCGCCCTTCTCCGGAGACTCAGGGCGGCTTACAATGCGTTAAGCAATAGCCTTCATACTTTTGGATATTTTATACAAAGTCAGCTTATGGCCCCCACAATCTGGGTCCTCATTTCACCTACCTTAGAAAGGATGGAAGGCTGAGTCGACCTTGAGCCTGGTGAGATTTGAACTCGCAGTAATTGCAGGCAGCTGTGTTAATAACAGGGTGCATGAAACCACTGTACTACCAAGGCTCCTATTTGTAGGTCTTTGTATTTTGTGATCATCTCCAGTTTTTTTCTCTTCTCTTCCATAGTCTCCAGGCACTGCCACATCCATTATCCAGATTTTGTGGCTGGCTTATAAGCAATTGTTATGTCTGGGGTGTTGTATGTCTGTTTGAATTCACCAGGGGAGGAGGGAGGACAGGGAGGCTGGATTTGAGTCTGTTGTGGCAATGCAATGATTCCTAACTCATGTTTAACCCCGCCTTCCAGCTCAGCCTCTTCTTTTCCTACAAGTCCCTTCTGTTTTCTACTTTGGTACAATCAATACCCAAAATACAGAATTAGGCCATTGTGTGCAATGCAGAGTTTTGATGGCACTATCAGGGTCTCCTTCTTGAGTTTTCAATGGCACATGTGATGACCTGGGGCACAGCACAGAGATAACACAGGCAGCTGGCAGTTCAAACCGCCCCTTTATTGCTCCAAATTGCCCCCAAACGCTCCCGCCTTTCTGGCAAGTCCCAGAGCAAAGTGATGACACAGAGACACACCTCAAGCAGCCTCTGTCTGCAAATAGTCCAGCCCAACGCTGTGAGCACCACAGCTGCAAAGCAAGAAACCCAGAAAGTATGCAAGGAATCCAGGAAAGTTCATACGTCGGCACTCAACACTCCAGAATTCAGCGTTTGTTCCCGACAAATGCCCCTCCCCACAGCGTCTCCTTAAGTCTCAGTCCCCAGGTGTGCCTTGTGAAGAGGGGCAGGGCTCTCTCCTCCCAAGTAGCTGGATCAGCCTGCGCTGTTCTCACCTTCTCTCCACTCTCCATGCTCGAGGATCAGGAGTGAGTGGTCCTTGCTCATCGCCTGAGCTCTGTCTCTCATGCTCCCTGCCCCAGTTCCTCCCTTCCTTCAAGCCGTCCCAATCCTGAAAGGCCCTGGCCTGACTGGGCCTGCTCCTCCCCACTTTCCTCCCAAGCCGCCCCTCGATCTCCGTCTGCTCCAGTTCTAGGTCATCTTCCCCTGCAAATTCAAGCTCTGATGAGGGCATGACAACAACCTTGTGGCCTCCATCTTTGACCACATACCGCAGAAAAACTCCTCAACTGCTCCTAGTTGCTTTTAAATCACAGGAATTGCTCTTGGGGTCTTTTCCATGGACACTGCCTGTCCGGTTTGAGCTTCAATGACTGCTAAGAGTGCCCAAGCGAGCAGGGACACCCCTCTAAAGCTCTGCTTTTTTTTCCCCTCTTCTCCTTCCCTTACTCCCACGTAGCTCATGGTTCCTTGGCTGCAGTCCCCGGAGGCTGACCTGCGCGAGAGAGCCATCTGGAGCAGCGCCTCGCTCCTCAATTTTGTCGCCAACAAATTGCAGCTGGACGTGAGTCGCCACGAATCTGTCGCCACCAGAAAAGAAAAATTATGGATTACTCTTTTATCATTTATTCTATGCGTTTATCATTTTCGGTTTATTGTTGCATTATAGTATTGTTTGACAGTGTCACTCAACCTGGCAACTTTTAAGATGTGTGGGCCGGAAGTGGGTCTCAGCAGGTTCTGACCAGTTCTGGAGAACCGGTAGCGGAAATTTTGAGTAGTTCGGAGAACTGGTAGTAAAAATTCTGACTGGCCCTGCCCCCATCTATTCTCTGCCTCCCGAGTCCCAGCTGATCGGGAGGAAATGGGGATTTTGCAGTAACCTTCCCCTGCCACACCCACCAAGCCATGCCACGCCCACCAAGCCACACCCACAGTAATAAAATTTGAAACCCACTATTGGTGTGGACTTCAGTTCTCAGAATTCCCCAGGCAGCACAGTTGTTGCTAAGGTTTCTGGGAATTGAAGTCCATGTACTTGTAAGTGGCCCAATTGGAGAATGCTGGGAATTCAAAACTCTGCAAAGATTTGGATCTATTTTGAATCTGCTCCATTTTGCCCCAAACACAGTGCTGGCTGGAAATGGTAGATCCCAGTTCAAGACACATAGAATGACAAGAGTTGGAAGGGAACTTAGAGGTCTTCTAGTTCAAGCAGGAGATCCTACACCATTTCAGACAAATGGTTGTCCAATCTCTTCTTGAAAACCTCCAGTGTTGGAGCATCCACGACTTCTGGTGGCAAGTAGTTCCACTGGTTAATTGCTCTCGTGGTCAGGAAATTTCTCTTTAGTTCTAAGTTGGATCTCTCCTTGATTAGTTCCCATCCGCTGCTTCTTCTCCTGCCTTCAGGGGCTTTGGGGAATAGGTTGACCCCTTCTTTTTTTGTGGTAGCCCTTCAACACCACATCCCTTGCTACTGTGCAAAATCAGAGATGGCTCCTCCTGGCTTCTAACTCTGGTCCTTTCTCTCCCTTTAGACCAAGTCCAAGTTCTCCCACCTCGGTCATCTGGTAGCCATTCTGGGAATCTGCTGCGGCGATCCTATCAAGTCGATCTGTTCGAAGGCAGCCAAGAGCGTCCACCTTCTCCTCTCCATCGTGCTTGGCCAGAAGAGTAAGAGGGTCAAGTGGGAATCGAAGTCCAGAAAAATCCCCCGGGGTTACAGGCGCTCCTACAAACCATCAAATCCAGCCTCTCAGCTTAGTCCAGATTAAATCCCAAACAGATCTGGCCTCTCTTTATTCAGATCCAGTGAAGGGGACCTTCATTCCAACTGTGAGGATCCCCTAATCCTGTGTTGGCAAATCAATGGCACGCCTGCCAGAGGTGGCACACAGAGCAGGGGTGAAATGCTCCCGGTTCGGACCGGATCGCCTGATCCGGTAGCGATGGAGGCGGGTGGTTCGGAGAACCGGTAGCAAAAGTCCCTGCGCCCTCCCCACCATGCCCAGCTGAGCCGCGCGATCATCAGAGGCTTTTTTCTTTAACTTTTAAAAGAAAAATGCTTTTAAAAGTAAAAAAAAGTCTCAGATGATCGCGCGGCTCAGCTGGGATCGTCAGAGGCTTTTCAAAGCATTTTTTTCTGCAACCTCTTGGCTGAAGAGGCTGTAGAAAAAAAAATGCCTTTAAAAGCTTCTGACAATCCCAGATGACTTGCCTGATCGGCAGAGAGGCTTTTCAAAGCATTTTTTTCTGCAACCTCTTGGCCGAAGAGGTGGTTAAAAAAAATGCTTTGAAAAGTCTCTGACGATCCCAGCTGAGTTGCCTGAATGTCAGAGAGGCTTTTCAAAGCATTTTTTAAAAAAGCCTCTCTGACGATCCCAGCTGAATCGCCTGATCGGCAGAGGCTTTTCAAAGCATTAGAAAAAAATGCTTTGAAAAGTTTTTTTTTTTAAGTTGGCCACGCCCACTCCAGTCACATTACCCCCCTCCCCCACCAAGCCACGCCCACAGAACCGGTAGTAACAAATTTTACATTTCACCCCTGACGCAGAGCCCTCTCTGTGGGCACACACGCCATCGCCAGCTGTTCTTCTGGTTTCCAGCATGCACATGCGCGCCGGCTGGCTGATCTTTGGGGGAACCAGAGTGCCAGAAAATGGCCTGAAAAATGGTCAAAAACACCCAAAAAACAGGCCAGGTTTTGGGCCATTTTTCGGGCTATTTTCAGGCCATTTTGGGGGCATTTTCAGGGTGTTTTCGGGACATTTTTTAGGCTGTTTTCAGGCCAAAAAACAGCCTGAAAACA